GAAAAAACTTAAGATTTTCAAAATTTTGATCAAATACCTCATCTCTATTGCAAAAAATAAGATCATAAATTAAGATAATAAACCAAAAAAATTTATAAATTTGACCGAGAAAAATTAAAGGTTGTAAACCCATGTTTATATATGGTGATTCTTAATTTGGAGCTATGATCCTTATATAACTTCTGTCAAGCCATAACATACATGCTCTAATATTTATCATATGTATGTATAGGGACTGTGTGGACTGCAACTGCCCATGCCTTCACAGCTATTGTTGGTTCTGGAATATTGGCATTGCCATGGAGTGTTGCTCAGTTGGGTTGGATTCTTGGACCATTTTTTCTGGTTTTCTTTGCTGCTGTTACATATTATATAGCTATCCTTCTATGCGACTGCTATAGAACTCCTGACCCTGTCAAAGGAAGGAGAAACTACACCTACATGGATGCTGTTAGAGCCCTCCTAGGTACTTGCTCTCTTCAATCTTCTTTCACAGCCTACCATCAGTACAGAGAAAAAGCATTGATTAATTTGTTTTCTCTACACTTCCTTTTTGGTATTTGATAAAGAAACAACAATATATATGGGAAAAACCAAAATTTTCTTTTAAAAAAGATCTAATTTTCAGATCTTATTGATACAGGTCCAAAACATGTATTTATCAGTGGTATGATGCAATATTCTATGCTATGGGGAATAATGATTGGCTTCACAATAACAACTGCCATTAGCATAGCGTGAGACACAGTTTCCTCAAAAATTTTGTTTCAATTTAGAGTTTAAAAGTTGAGCTGCCTTACTCTTTTTTCCTTAATTTTCTCTTACTTTTTGGGTTTGAATTTACCAGGACAATGAAGAGGTCAACCTGCTTCCATGAGAAAGGACCTAATGCAAAATGTGGGGTATCAGGAAATTCATACATGCTTGCTTTTGGTGCGTTGGAAATTCTTTTATCTCAATTTCCAAACTTGGAAAAAGTAACATTCCTTTCAGTAATTGCAACATTGACCTCACTTGCATATGCACTCATTGCTCTGTGCCTATCCATTGTAAAATTTTCTTCGCATCAATATGAGGCTAAAGGGACTATAATGGTTGCCATGGCCGGTAAGGGTTTAGCTACATCCACCAAAGTGTGGCAGGTCTTTCAAGCTCTTGGTAATATTGCATTTTCCTACACCTATTCCATGCTGCTAGTAGAGATTCAGGTTTTGCTCTCTCGCCCAAATATTCCCCTTCAATTGAGAAATATATTAATTTTTTGATGGAAAATATTTAAAAAATAAAATAAAATTGTGAAGGATACCTTAAAGTCACCACCAGCAGAAAACAAGGCGATGAAGAGGGTGACATTATACGCCATTGGAGGAACTGCACTTTTCTACACTTCCTTAGGATGCATGGGGTATGTTGCTTTTGGAGCTGATGTTCCTGGAAATTTTCTCACTGGATTTTACAAGCCACTTTGGCTTGTTGATATTGCAAATCTTGCTGTGATCATACATCTAATCGTAGGCTATCAGGTACTCTACCCTGATCTTGATTGTGTGAGAATTTATGTCCCTATATTTTCTATGTTCTTAATATGCAAGTCTTGCTTTATGATCAGGTGTTTGCCCAGACAATTTTTGCCATTAATGAGAAGTGGCTTGCAGCAACATGCCAAGCTCCTGCTTCATTCTTCAATAAGATTTATACCATAAGGTTTCAATGCAAGCAAAATTATTCATTTCAGTTTACACCAAGTAGGCTTCTTCTAAGAACAGGTTTTGTCGTTTTCACAACTTTGGTTGCGATGCTGTTCCCATTCTTCAATGCCATTTTGGGTCTTCTTGGCTCCATTTCTTTCTGGCCATTGACTGTCTACTTCCCCTTGAACATGTACATGGTGCAAGCAAAGATCAAGAGGGGAAATTCTACTTGGATAATGTTTCAAGTGCTAAGCTTATTGTGCTTGATGGTCACCCTAGTTTCCGCTGTCGGTTCTGTGGCTGACATACTAGAGCATCTTAAGCATGCCCAGCTATTTCATATTGACCTTTAGACAGTACAGGTTTATTCTTCTCGTTTTCAGAGAACTTGCTGTGATCTTGTTATTGCGATTAATTAATCTTAGAAAATAAATTGTCATACATATATATTTATCATAAATATGTCAGTGTAGTTCAAGTTGTAACTTGCACGAGGCTATAAGGTTTGGTTTGGTTCATTTTGTATCTTTTTCTTACAGAGAAAATAATAGCCAATTGATAGTAAATTGATAGTCAATTTCAAGAGATCTAATGCTTGAACTTTTTAGATTATGATTGATTTTTTTTCCTTCTATATATCTTGCTTTTGACGAAGACCAATCAATTATACTACCTTCTTTCTCTCTTTTAATTTGATTCAGTCTATGCATTTATTTTATTAAGCAATAGATGAGATGGATTCCATGCACGGTTTCAACCACAGAACCATATACGAGACCCATCTATTTTACTAATTCATAAAGTTTAAAGAACACTTTCCCTACATAACATTCCTTTTCGTTGAATTGTAGAGGGAAAGGTCAACATGTAACCAATTTTCGAGGCAATGTAGAGAGACGTAGGAGAAAACATTTTTATGTATGGGAGTAAATTATATATCAGTCCCCCTTGTTTAAAAAAAATTAACTAGTCCTTTTTGTTTCAAAAGTTAATTATTTAGTCCTCATGTTTTGAAATCTACCTATAATTTAGCCTTTTTAGCTAATTTTTAATATCTTTTAATTTTTTTTAAGAAAAAGAAAAAAATTGAAAAGATTATGAGAAAATAAGAGATTTTTTGAAATAAAAATAAAATTAAATTAAACATGATTAACACTAATTAAATGCTTAAAAAATAATTTTTGAAACAAAGGGGACTAATTAAGTTATTTCGTAAAACTAGAGGGACTAATTTATAATTTACTCTTATATATATATGGACGACAATTTGAATGGAATTGGAATATCACGAGTAGAAAACAGCAATGCCATGCATTAATAATTAATTTTAAGGCATAGCATTAATTCCATTTTGTAATTCCACACCCTTTTCTTTTGTTTTGTAAGAAGCACTCCCTTTTCTATATTCCCACAAATCCACTGGAAATAGCTTTTTGAGAACTTGATAATAGCCTGGTTTACTGTATACTATTATTATTTGGACGCGAATTTAAGAATCACAAGAAATAAATAAACTTTCTCTTTAATTCTAATGTGCTGGGTTGATGATTAAGAATATTTATTCATTCTTTTAGATATTTGAGTTTGACCTTTAAAATCAACATTTAAAAAAAATTTATTTCTCTAAGTATACTAAATGCATGTAAATATAGTGTACCGTTTCGATCACATAGATATAAGATTTAGTTTGGAATCATTAAAGGCTGTAAGTGGACAATTAAGAGAGTGTGTTTCTGACTCATTATGTTAGAAGTTAAATCTTTATCTATAAAAAACCTAATGGACCGCAAGAGACTAAAAAAATCTAATCTTTAGAATCAACATAATAATAAGCGTGATTAAGTGTTGATCTAACCTATTAAATAACGAATTTAGTTTTAATTGAAATAAAACTAATCATAAAATATCCCACTAACATATATATATATATATATTAGTGAGGAACCTTTTCCCAACACAACCTAGTAAAAAGACCTAAAGGCCTCTAACTCCAAAACTCGTCAAACTCAATCCAAGCCCACAACTCGCTACAAAAATTGACTTGCCAAACGGGTCTAGAATACCTAAAGAATACCAAGGGGCATCTCCCTAGAAGAAGACTTTAGAATCTTCTTACATTGAGAGCTTCGTTCTGGAAAAGAAAGATATTACTTTTCTCCACTATCATCTATAAAATAAAGAATCTCTAATAATAACAACAATCAAATCATCATTCATCATAACTGTATTATCTAATGACAACATCAATCAGATCATCACTCATTATAATCACATTATTGCAGTTGTAGAATCAGATATAATGATGACAAAACACCAATACTTGTCGGCTCATTTGCTAACCTTCGAGAGAGAGCATTCCTACCCCTTTAATCATGCAAAAAGCTTTCACAACTGCCTATGTAAAGAAGGGACTTTACAAAAAAAGGAGAAAAAAGGGTCTAAGACTAGAACAACAAGATTTAGAGAAAAGTCACCAAGTGCTATACTGCTATACATATAAGAAAACTCTTCAAAGAGAAAATGAGAGTATTCAAGCAATATTGTTTGTTACGACAACTCCAAACACAAGCCATACTCCTTGTCACATAACTATAAACAGGTTCCTAAATCACTTTTCAAACTTGTCAATTCCTTATCTTTTCTATACTCTTTACTAAACTATATGCATATTAGCTCACACTAGTATATAAGAGTTTTGTTAAAAAAAAAACTTTGACCACTAACTTAATAATGGAGGGTCCCACCCAATAAAAAAACTTGTTTTGTAAATACATGATTCCAAGAGATTTCTATCCACGGTTCACACATAATCGTTAGTTGCCACTACCATTGTAACCATGTCCTGAAATTATTTATTTAGTTAAACACTTACTCATCAAGTATGTACTAGACTCTAGACATGTTATTTTATTATCGGCCTTGAAGAAACCTTATTTTCCTGACTATTTTATTAGAAGCTTAGGTTTTCCTATCTTAATTCCCTGTAGAAATCCACTTTAATACAACCCAATGTTGTCCTAAACAGTTTCAAACTTAGATCTAGAACAGCCCCCTAAGGTGCTCTACATGACATAACAACATTTATATGAAGTAATTTGGTCTTTTTTTCACTTCATTGCAGCTGAAAAGGAACAGCAATGCTTCAAAAAATATATATATATATATATATATATATATATATATATATATATATATATATATATATATATTTAGGAGCCCATAGAAGTGCAGATTAATAAAATCTTTTGATTAAAGCTGAAGCACATGTTCTTAATGCCAACAAGAGTAAATTGCTAGAGTCTAGATCTCCTACCAGACTATAGTAGAGTAGAGCACAATACCAGAAATCATGCTTACACGATAATAGTAATGAAAAGTTAACCAATGTGCTTTCGCCTCAACCTCATAAAACACCTGAAAAAAAGTTAAGAGAAACTTACATTTAGAATTTGACCACAAAACATCCAATAAAAATGACAGCAAAGAAAGCCCCAAAAAGGAATACAACTACAATTTGAGCAATACAATAGATGAAGTAAAACATACCCAAATCACTAAAATACTGTTTAAATTGATTAAGCACCAAACCTAAGCCATTTTTCATGCCAAACCAATAACCCAACTTTGTCTCTTGATGACAACATCAAATAGGTTCTTGGTATCTTATAGTTTGAGCAATCCAATAGAAATCACAGCAAAAAAAAAAAAAAAAAATGCCAAACCAATAATCCAACTTTGTCTACTGATAAAAACATCAAATAGGTTGTGGGTATTTAATGAAAACTACAACTATCGTTATACCTTAAGCATTGTCACACCCTTGAGCACAAAAGGCAAGACCTTTGCAATGAAGGTCTATTGAAGCTAAATTCTTGAGACAAAAACAACAGACGGTGTTAACACTAGAGAAAGAAGGATGAGCTAAAATTACAGTCGTACTCTCTCTCTCTATCTCCACAATCACGTCCTCACCCTCTTCAGAAAAATTCTCATTCTTTCTCCTCGACAAACTCCTCTCTTCCACACACATCACTTCCTCCTTTGAATTCAACATCACCTTCGGCCCTCCTAAAGTGAAATAAGAATTCAATGAGAAGTCTTTTGCCTTCCTTCACCAAAGCTAACTTTACAGAGTAGTACTTGTCCTCCTCTCTCACAAACCCAGTTAAGCCAACACCCACCCTTAACCTATTCTCTCCCGAACCCAGCAGCCACCAGACCTAACTGAACTCAATAACTTCATCCATTACCTCCACAAATCCTTCGATCTTCTTCTCTCACAAACCCAACCGAGCCAACACCCATCCTTGTCATCTTCTCTCACGAACCCAGCAGCTACTAAACCCACCTGAACCTAGAGATGCTATCCTTTACTTCCACAAACTCCAACATCAAAGAGCCTTATATGTGGACAAACTAAGAAAGAGAAGATAAGGAGGCTAAGAAGAGAGAGAAAAATATTTTTCTTATATTTCTTGAATAAAAGGATGAAGGTAAAGAAAGATGGTTTAGTGAGATTGGGATAAAATGTTGTTGTGGTGGTGATGGGTGGCTGATATCTACGTCGGGGTGTGGTGGTGGCGAGTACAGTTGTAGCAAGGGTTGGGTGAAGAGGAGAACGATAGAAGATGAAGACTTTATAAGATTGAGATAAAATGAATTTATATATCATATGATTTAATTGCTGAGATTGTTATGTTTTGTTAGATGGATCATTGAGATCAAAAGAAAGTAATGTTCGATCGGACGGTTGAAACAACAAATGTACAAAATAATGGGTTTTGTATAGTAATTTAACAAAGAGTCAAAGAAAACGCAAAAAAAAAAAAAAAAAAAAAAAACACAGTTAATATGAACAGTATCACTGATTCTAAATGAGCAGTACTTGAATAGTTACAATTCTTATTTTTTTTAGTTTGTTTGTTAATAGTATGCTTAAGATCCGTTTTGAAGTGTTTTGGCTGTACCTTAGGCATTAACCTAAACAATTATTTTGTTAAATTTCTTAAAATGGAAGGGTTATATATATAAAAACAGAAATGTTATCTCTGATTAAAAAAAAAAGAAAAAAGAAAAAAATTGATTATAAAAGAATGACAGCTTCCCTTAGAGCCAAATTAACAGAATAAGAAAAATCACACTCGAAATGTGTTACGCATTAATGTAAGAAAATTATTGGAAACGAGAGTCTCTCGTTTTCTTGGGAAGCAGCAAAAGAGGAGAGAAAACCAATTCTGGTTCATTGAACATAGTCATTTTCTTCCTGATGGACTCGTTTGCCCCCATCAGCGTAACGGCATGATCAAGACCTCACAAAAATGATAGTCTTCCTGTCCGTAACTGACTGACCAATCCACACATTTTGTGCCGACTACTGTGGCAAATAACGGGAAGAAATAACAACCCCCTACCATTCCCATTTTCTTCATTTGTTATCATGCTCTAGAGAGGTAACAAGTGAGTGAGGTCCCAAATCCACCAGCTTATTAATTTTTTTTTATTTGTTTCTTTTTATGTTTACTTTCATTCATGTATTATTTATTTATTTTTATATCAATTGAAATTAATTAATTAATTTTTTTTTTTTGAGATAAAGCGATGTGGGATCACAATTGGTTTTTGATTCTAAAAATTAAAACTTTTTAAGCCAATTGCCTACTACTTATTAATAGCTTACTAATTAGGCACAACTATATACGCTTTATGGAGTGAGTGATCAGCAGCAGTGAACAGGTGTTCTTTGCTGCCGCCTTTGACTCTTTCTGTGGGGTCCATGTAGAATCGCCTCTATATACTGACCTCCTCCACTGCTCTTTTCAGTCTCACCCTCTTTGTGCCATTTCATTGAGAATCTCCCTGGACTCGTCCACGCGTACTCTACACTACCCGTTTCCTCCTTTCAAGTTTTGTTTTTCTGGTTGAATTGATTCAATGGAATTGGAAAGGGCAATGGATGCAGGGGATGATGGGCGCATTCGAACAGGTACCAAATTCTTTCATCAATTATTTTCTACATCTCTCTCTCTCTCTCTATATATATATATATATCATTGCATGAATAGAAATTGAAGTTAGGTTTTCATGTGTGCTGGTTTTTCTTTTCTGTTTGAGTACATTTTCATGCGTGCTTTTGTTGACGAATTGGTGACTGTTTCCCTTTTCCTTTTTGGATGCTTGTGCTCTCACGTGAGAAAGAACCCTAAAAGAGACAAGAAAAAAGAAAAAGAAAAGGTAGATGAGATTTTCACAATTTTTATACCATTCACGCACTCATATAGCACTATTCACTTAATGTTATTATTTTCGTTTTAAGTATTTTTTTAGATATTTATTTTATTCACAATACTATTTATCCTCTTTTCACTATGTATTGATTATTATTATTTTTTTTTACAAATAATTTTGAGTTTTTTTCCAAGCATTTTATTTTTAAAGTTTTGCTCGTGTTATTTTTAGTCCCTCATTTTTTAACAAATTTTATTTTAATCCACAACTTTATTTGTATTGTAATTTCATTGCTTATAATAATAATTTTTTAAAATAATTTTATATGTTACTGTTCGATTGCGAGTGTAGCACTAATAAAAACTTGTTTGTTATTTACAAATATATATATATATATATATATATATATATATATATATATATATATATATATATTTCAAATATTGTAATGAAAAGGAAAAAAATAATAATAAAAGAAAGTTTTAGCTCAAGCCGTTTTTTTTATTATTTTATTTAAGTCTTCATTTTATAATTATTTTTATGATTTTGTTGATTTTCTCTTACAATTTTTTTTAATTGGATTTTCTGATACAAACTTGCTGTGCTATTATTCTCAATCCAAACTTAGATTAAGGAAATTAAAATTCGAATTTTTTTTCTTTAGATAAATTTAGTTAAAAGCAAAATTCAACGCAGGTGCTAACTGGGTTTGCTACTAAAGTTGTTATTGCCTTATTGGGTTGGTGCATTTTCTGATTGCAAGACAGTGAGGGGTGTCCAACTCCTTAGGCCCAGACAGTCCAACATTTCGGGCTTCGAGCCCCTTATTAGAGATGGGCCAGGATTGAGTGAGTACAGGCCTTATGGCCTGCAGAAGTGGGCCAACATGGGATCTTGTGGTGTTAGGAATCAAAAGTCTCAAATCATACGTTAATCAAGATTAAATTAAGGAACTAATAAAAAATACAATACGTTAAAACCAAAAATAATTTACGAATAATATGATAGTCTTTCATTGGTGGACCGCGGATTGGATTATCAAGGAGAAAAGCAACAAGAGCTGCTTAAAACCTTAAACCACCATCTCATTCTTCCCAAAAAACGAGAATGGCAACACTCTCAAGCTCCACTCCTTTCTCTGCTTCCAAAACTCCACAAGCCCACAACCTTAATTCTTCCCGAGAATTCTCTCTTCTTTCTAAACTCCATTCTTGCAAATCTGTATCTCAACTCAAACAAATCCATGCCTTCATCATCAAAACACCAAAGACTTCTACTCATCACATTTATGCTAAAAAACTCATCTACTCACTCCTACAATTACAGCATTCCTTTAGCCCGAATGACAAAAACCTCACCTATGCTTACTCTCTTGTTAAGCAATGGGAAAAACCAGACGTTTATGCTTACAATGCAATAATCCAACGACTCTCATCAACTTCCAGCAAGAATTCAATGCAATCTTTTCACTTGTATCAGGAAATGCTGATAAAGGGCATCTTTCCTGATGCATACACTATTCCCTATGTTCTTAAGGCGTGCTCCCAATCTCTGGCTCTTAGGGAAGGTCAGCAGATTCATTCTCATTGTATTAAGATGTTGTTCGTTGAAAATGTGTACGTTAATAACACTCTTATGAGGCTTTATGCTGTCTGTGGAATGCTTGACGCTGTTGAGAAGCTGTTTGAGCAAGGTCCTGTCAGGGACTTGGTCTCGTGGACCACGCTCATTCAAGCATATCTCAAGATGGGATTTCCAAAGGATGCCGTTTTGGCATTTTTTAGGATGTGCCAAACAAATTTAAGACCGGACAATAAGATGTTAGTCGTTGTGCTCTCCGCGTGCTCCAGGTTGGGGGACTTGAGTTTGGGTAGGAAAATACATGAATACATGGACCATCTTAAGGTGAATGTCAATTCGGATGTTTTCCTTGGCAATGCATTGGTGGATATGTACTTAAAATGTCGTGAAGCTGGCTTAGCTAGGCAGATGTTTGATAAGATGCCCGTTAAAAATGTAGTTTCTTGGAATTCAATGATATCTGGTCTAGCTCACCAAGGACAGTTTAAGGAGGCATTGGATGTATTTCGGTGGATGCAGAAGGTGGGATTGAAACCGGATGATGTTACTTTGGTTGCTGTGTTGAATTCTTGTGCTAATCTTGGAATGCTTGAGCTTGGAAAGTGGGTTCATGCTTATATTGATAAAAGTCATATCAAGGCGGACGGGTTTATTGGGAATGCTCTTGTAGATATGTATGCAAAGAGTGGAAGCATAGATCAAGCCTTCGGGGTGTTCCAAGCCATGAAATTTAGAGATGTTTATTCTTATACTGCAATGATTGTAGGCTTGGCAATGCACGGGGAAGTAGAGAGTGCACTGAATATCTTCTCTGAAATGCCCAGAATGGGCATAAGACCTGATGAAGTAACATTTGTGGGTGTTCTTTCCGCGTGTAGTCATGCAGGATTGGTGAAAGAAGGATGGAGATATTTTGAGGACATATCTAAGGTCTACAACCTCGAACCTCAAGCAGAGCACTATGGTTGTGTGGTTGACCTCTTGGGTCGTGCTGGACTAATAAGTGAGGCACAACAGTTCATACAGAATATGCCAATTGCTCCTGATGCTTTTGTTTGGGGGGCACTACTAGGAGCTTGCAAGATGTATGCAAAGGTTGAGCTTGGGGAAAATATAATGGAAAAACTGCTAGAGGTGGAGCCTCGAAAAGATGGTGCATATACACTCATGTCAAACATGTATTCCTCTGCAAATAGATGGAGAGATGCGTTGAAATGGAGAAAGGCCATGAAAGAAAGAAAAATAAAAAAGACTCCTGGGTGTAGTTCAATTGAAGTTGATGGTCTGGTTCATGAATTCCGCAAGGGCGAAAAGGCACATCCAAAAGTTAAAGAGCTGTACAAGTTGCTGGAAGCGATGAATGGTCACTTGAGAAACTATGGGATTTGGTCCGCAGCAATTGATTATGTTGATACAACTACAGGATGCAAGCACCATTTGTCTCGCTAGATCAAGATATGGTCCATATGCTGTGAGACTTTGATATTCGCTTGCCCTATCAACTAAATATGGTTGGCATAAAATCTTTGAGGGTCATATGTTAATTGAATAACAAGTCCATGTGAACATAAATAAATAATCATCTCATGTTGATCGAACATCATGGCCACTTCATGATTTATCTTGTAAGTTTACTTGCATTTCATTTTTAGAAAAATCATTTGGGAACAATTGACTAACCATTTTGCAGTAACTGACCTGTTAATTTCAGCAAATGATACTTACTTGTTGTTCTGGCAAGTGTAATCATGCATATCTTAGAATTCAGTATAATCAGGATTAATCTGTTACCAGTAAGAGCGTGTACTTAGGCTTCATTTTATGAATCCTCTTTACACAAAATATTCCTACCCAAATTAAGAGAACCTTCAAATACTTGAGATAAATGAGATTATATTTAATGAGGATTGACTTATAAATAAGTTCATTTATGTGACACTATGGCATTGCTGTTAACAAAAACTTGCATATACCACTCCTTTTCCACATTTTCAAATCTTTACATAATGTTTGAGTTGTGTCAATCACTTACCATGTTTCATTGTGATTTAGGTACATTGTGGACTGCAACAGCCCATGCTTTTACAGCTGTTGTTGGTGCTGGCATATTGGCATTGCCTTGGAGTGTTGCTCAATTGGGTTGGATCCTTGGCCCCTTTGTTGTCGTTGTCTTTGCCATTGTTACATATTATATAGCCTCTCTTCTGTGTGATTGCTATAGAACGCCAGATCCAGTTACTGGAAAAAGAAACTATACATACATTCTTGCTGTGAGAGAACTTTTAGGTATTTCTTTGTCCTTTTAATGTGCATTGTTACAATGATTGTTGAAATAATGAATTTGTTTTACGTGCATATATTCCTTTTTATAAAATGCTATTAATATAAATTACCTTCATGATCTCTTTATTTGCTTTCTTGCTATCCATAACTGGTAAAAGACTCAAATGGACCATAACCACAGAAATATGAGGCGCAAAGTAAAAATTTCACAAAATATAAGGGTCTATACTTTCCATCTGATATCATGGCTTATCATGTATTATATGTCAACAGTAATGACTTTCGGTTTGTGCAGGTCCTAGAAGTGAACTTATCTGTGGTATATTGCAGTATTCGATATTATGGGGAACAATGATTGGCTACACAGTTACAACTGCCATTAGCATAGCGTGAGTTGCTTCAAAAAAAAAAAAAATTCTGATGAAATGCATTGATGTGTTGCAATTTCTTCTTGATTGTGTTTTGATATATTGTAGTTCTTTAACCCTTTTCTAGTGCATCTACATTTGCTGCATAAGCCTAAACAATTTTTTTTTTGAAAATCACAATCTTACAAGTTTCAGGAGTATCTGGTATCCATGAATTGAACATAAAGGCATGCTTTCTTCTTCAACTGACTACAGGTGCATAAGATGCTGTAGCTAATGCTTCTGTTTCATTTTCTGAATAGGTCTGTAAAGAGGACAACATGTTTTCATGACAAGGGGCATAATGCAGAATGTGGAATATCAGGATATCTCTATATGCTTATTTACGGAGCAATAGAAATATTTCTATCACAATGCCCAAACTTGGAAAAAGTGGCAATCCTGTCAGTAATTGCATCAGTCACATCGTTTGCATATGCACTCATAGCATTATGTCTATCTGTTGCTAAGCTGTCCTCAAACCATGAGTTTAAAGGAAGTCTCATGGTAGCTATGGTGGGAAACACTGAAGCTACACCAGAGAGATTTTGGCAAGCTTTTCAAGCTCTTGGAAACATTGCTTTGGCCTATACTTACTGCATGCTACTCATAGAAATTCAGGTTTTCTGCTTTAACCTAAAATTATTTTTCCTTTATTATGGTCATTTTCAACAACAGTTACCCATCCTGATTATATAAACCAATTTCCTAAAGGATACCTTGAAGGCACATCCACCAGAAAATAAAGTGATGAAGAGAGCATCAATGTATGTTGTTACTGGAACAGCTTTGTTTTACATTTCTCTGGGATCCATGGGTTATGCTGCATTTGGAAATGACGTTCCTGGAAATGTTCTCGCTGGATTTTATGAACCATTTTGGCTTGTTGACATAGCCAACATTGCTGTAATTATACATTTAATTGGAGCTTATCAGGTATATCCTCGTCTCTCCCCACTTGTTGTATATGTGCTCACACATGCTTGCACAACAAGTACACGAATTGGCCTTTGCAGTTATGATATGCTCACTTAGAAGCCATGCTTCACATTTCATTGAAATTTGAAAGTAATTTCCCTCATTATTATGCAAGTTACCAGCGAGGGCTATTCACATTCAAGTGTCAAGACTTCAGTTGCATCTAGGTGATTGAATGTAAAGCTGTTGTTTTCACATTCTATGCAGTGACATGTAGTTACACAATTTGAATATTAATTTTTTTTTCAACTAATATGCTAAACATAGTTATTTATAATGAAAAATTAGCGTTTTAGTTATTTTCTTGCAGTAATGATCTTTTTTTCTCATATGGAGGCTGACTATTTTCTTTACAATTATTTTGCTATAATTTGTCTGATCCAAGTTGCTAAAATTATGCTGTCATGCACAAAGTATAAATATACTTGATTTAACAATATTGATTTGAAGCTTCGCTGATAACTAATGTAGCCTTAAGCCTGTTAAAGTCTATGCTAGCCTGTCTTCATATTAGTTTTTGTCCTATCCACTAGTGCATATGGTGAACAACTCTCAGATATTTACAAATCTGAGGGATTTGTACAGTAGCTGTGAAGTTGACACGAGCAAGCTTGTTACAACCCTTAGATATTTACAAATCTAAGGGATTTCCAGCATTGAGACAATACCTTAATTTACACTATCTATTTATTGGCCACATATTCCTATCTCTTATCTGATTTTCATTTCTGATGTGCATTCACTCTCTCCTCGAAGTAGCTCTTTTACACATGTTATGAAGGATACTGATTATACTCTGTATCTTCTTGAGGATGGATTGAAATTTTCCTTTCTGGGTGCATGTGTTTTCAATATCATTTGAAACCTTAAATTTGGTAAATTTTGATCACAGATACATTTTCTGACAAATTCTTGAAAACTTATTCAACGTGGATTTACTTGCAATCATTAATTTCATGAAATGGCATCATATGATGTTTGAATTTAGATAGGCGGTGCATGCTGTCTGTGCATTCGACAAGCGTAAAAAGATCCAGTTTCATGAAAATGATTGGGAAATTTATGTATGCCAGTCATCATGAATATTCATTCGTATACTTTACTTTTCTTTCATTTTCTTTGAATGAATTATTAAACTTCATTTTCTTTGGACGAATTATTAAACTTTCCACCTTGCATGATGTTTGATTTCAGTCTAATTTTGTTTTGTTGTCACTCTTCTCAGGTGTATGCTCAACCAGTTTTTGCTATCAATGAGAAATGGATTGAGTCAAGATGGCCAACATCACATCTCAACAAAAGCTACACCATTAGATTCCCATGGTCGAGAAAAGGCTCTCTTCAATGGACTATAACCAGGCTGTTTCTACGCACAATTTTCGTTGTCTTCACAACTGCAGTTGCAATGATGTTTCCATTTTTCAATGCGATTCTCGGTCTTCTCGGCTCAATTTCGTTTTGGCCACTAACAGTCTACTTTCCAATAAGCATGTACATAGTGCAGGCCAAGATCAAGAGAGGAAGCTGTCATTGGATTGGTCTTCAAGCTTTAGGCTTTGTGTGCTTGATTGTAACTGTCGTTTCTGGAATTGGTTCAGTTGCAGGTATGGTAGAGTTTCTTAAGAAAGCAAGGCTATTCCACATTGAGATCTAAGGCAGCAATCCCCTTGTTGGGGCTAGTACCTGTGTTTCACATTTGAATTTGCTAATGTTAACACTAATCAAAGTTTGAGACAGTTATCAAAAATGTATGACGATAAAATGTTTTCTTTTTATCTTATGAGCGATGCGCTACTGATTTAACTCATAATGTTTCTTTTGATTGATATATGCAAATTGTAGGAAGTTCCTGGTATATACGTATGAAAGAAGAAGATAGACAAAAAATGAAAGGGAACTCACTTCTTTTCATTACTGCAAAGACATGTTTATAATGATACAAAAGTATAAGTCAATACCAAATTTCCATGATTTAAGGAAATTTGTTCCCTTGTCTAAAGCTGAAATTAAGTTCCACCACAAGTCATTCAAATTTCAGATACATTCATTAATTGTATTACAAAATATTCAAAAACAAAAGGAACAAAATCTAGTGCAAAATCTGGTGCATGGCTTTGTATCATTACATGATTATGAACAACAAGCTTCATCACTCCTCCTTGATGCAAGAGTTATGCACAACACCAAGCTTGAAGTTCTTCAAATCGTTCTTCTGCAGATCCCTTGGTGAAAATATCAGCGAGCTTGTTCCTCTGCTGAACAATGCAAACAACACAACTTCACCTTCCTTCTCTCGCTTCTCTAAAAGCATGATATTTGATTTTAATGTGCTTAGTTTTTCCATAAAAAATGGGATTTTTAACCATTGCAACAGCGAGACTTATTATCACACAAAATCATTGTAGCAGCTTCTTGCTTAAACTTCAAATCACTCATCATTTTTCTCAACCATAAGGCTTGATTAACGACAGCAAATGCAGCCATATACTCGCCTCGGTAGTAAGCCGAGCAACGAGAACCTTGCTTCCTTGAACTCCAACATATAACACCCGATCAAAGTGTAAAACAATAGCCCGAGGTGCTTTTTGAATCTTCAAGTGATCCAGCCCAATCACTATCGGTGAATCTAAGTAATTTCGAGGTTGAACTCCTCCTAAACAACACACTACATGAAATTGTACCCCGAATATACCTCGGGACCCTTTTGGTCGCTTTGAGATGATTTTCGGTTGGCATGTGCATATATCTTGATAGAATGCTGGTTACATACATTATATCTAGTCTAGCGATTGACAAATACAGCAATGAGCCAACAAGACTCCCGAAGATTGAAGGATCAACGGATCCCGAACCATCATTTGTTTGTAACTTCAATCCTTGAACTGCTGGAGTCTCGACGACTTTGCAAACCAATTAGAGAAAACTTCTTCAATAATTCTGTGGCACATTTCCTTTGAGAAATAAAAGTGCCTATTGAAAATTGAGACACTTCCATCCCTAGAAAATAACACATCTACCCCAAATCATTCATCTCAAACATGCCCTTCATTTGCTTTCTAAACTCTTTCACGAGTTTGGATTGCTTCCAAAGACAAGGATATCATCAACATAGAGTGAAACAATTAGAATCTCAGCATACACTTGTTTTACATATAGTGTTGCTTCATTGATGCTCCTTTCAAATCCCAAGTCAAGCAAGTAGCCATCAATCTTTGCATACCAAACTCTAGGGGCTTGTTTTAAACCATATAGTGCCTTTTTCAACAAATAAACTTTATTAGCAACATTTTTAATAACAAAACCCTTAGGTTGTCAATGTAAATTTTCTCCTCAAGAACACCATTGAGAAATGCTGATTTAACATCAAGTTGATAGACTCTCCGACCTTTATGAGCGACGAATGGCAAGCAATAATCCGATTGTATCGAATCTAGCTACGGGAGCAAAGGTTTCGGTGAAGTCAATACCTTCATTGTTGAGAGTAGTTTTTCACAACTAATCTAGCCTTATATTTGCTGATTGAGCCATCCAGATTCACCTTCACTTTGAACACCCACTTTGTACCATTTACTTGTTGATTTTCCGGTCCGTCAACAAGTAACCGAGTGTCATTTTTAACAATCATATTGAATTCTTCCTCCATGGTCGCTTTTCATTTTGGAGATTGCAAAGCTTGATCAACCGATGCGAGGTTCCAATATAGCTACATTGCATCCGTTATAGATATCTTGTAGAGTTCGGTGCCTCTCACGGTATGATGCTCATCATCATAATCCTCCTACTCGAAGTCTCATTATAAAGCTGGGGTGTATTTTCGGCATTAATGCTTTGATTTGAGGACTCTCCAATCATTTTCTCTCAATTTCGGACACCATTTTCATCAAATTTTATACTCCTACTCACATAAACCTTCTCGAGTTATGGGATTTAAAATTCGATATCCTTTTGAAATAGTGCTATAACCAATAAAGACACCAACTTCGACCCTTTGATCAAGCTTGTCTCTCTTTGCATCGGGAACATAAGCATAACAAGTGCTTCCAAAAACCTTCAAATGAGCCATCGATGGTTTGACACCTATCCGAGCTTCATAAGATGTTTTACCATCAATAGCTTTAGTTGGAAGTCTATTTTGAAAATAGACAATAGTGTTTACGACCTCTCGCCTATAACTTCTTTGGTAAACCTTTTTCAAACAAGCACCTTGCCATGTTCATGATTGATCTATTCTTCCTTTCACTTACACCATTTTGTTGAGGTGTATAAGTGATCTGTGAGTTGATGATGAATACCTGCCTTTTGAAGAAATGATTGAAATTGAGAAGAGACATATTCGGTGCCATTGTTAGACCTCAAGGTCTTGATGACATGAGCACTTTGTTTTTCTACAACAACCTTGAATCTTTGAAACATAGAAAACACTTTAGATTTATTTTTGAGAAAATAGACCCAGCAGTATCTTGAAAAGTCATCAATAAATAAAAGAAAATATTTGCTGCCATTGTAAGAAGATATGCTCATGGGTCCACATACATCTATATGAACCAGTTGGAGCTTTTCGGTTGCTCTCCAAGCTCGGTTTACAAGAAATGGAGTTTTGCCCAACTTACCAAGTTGACGGGTACCACATACATTAGAAATCCCGATCCACGACAGGTAAATCATCCACCATTTTACTCCTTTCAAACAACTTCGAGCATCATAATTTATGTGACCCGACCTCTTATGCCACAAACAAGAGTTAAATTCAATACTAACAAAAGCTTCGACTTCATCATGTTTCCACTCAATATTAAAGCTTCATTGTGCATTTTAATGGATAGAAGCTTTATACCATAAGGATCAATAATTTCACGGAATTTGTTCTTGAATTTAACTGAGTAATTCTTATCTAGAAGTCGACCAACACTTAATAAATTGTGTTGAATATCGAGCTCAAACAAAACATCAAAGATAAGCTTTGTACTTGATAAAGTTTGCACGGACACAACACCTTTACCTTTGACATCCACTAGTCTCCCATCACCAAGTCTTACTTTGGAAGAATATGCTCTTTCAAAGTTTTAAAAATTTCTAAATTTGTCGACATATGATGAGTACGACCATCGTCGATCATCCAAGCATTAGTGTTTTGAGTTACGACTAAACATTCAGAGCAGACGAACAAAAAGTTTCTCCTCTTTACCTTCGAGTCCTTCGGTGACTTGTGCGAGTCGAGCTTGATTTTGTTGACCACCATTTCTTGGATAAACCACTTTCAACATGTCCAAGCCGCTTACATGCTTTGCAATGAAACCCGTGTCCGTACTAGCAATAATTTTCGGTGTGGTTTGTCTTCTTGCAATGAAGACAAGGTGGATACTTGCCTCTCCTATTCCTTCTCATGTTGCTTTGATTAAATTTTTTGTCTTTACCTCTCTTTGAATAAAGGCCTCTCTTTGCATCATTAGTCCGCACTTTTGCTCTTTGGGATGCAAAAAGTGCATTTTCATTTGAGCCTTCTTCTTCTCTAAATGCTTTTCTTTGTTCAACGACTTGTAGAGCACTTACAAGCTCTGCGAGAGAAAGCCGAGATAAATCCCGGACATCTTCAAGTGAAGAGATTTTTGCCTCAAATCTTTCCGGAAGAGTTACCATTACCTTCTCTATAACTCTTCTTTACGGTAAGTCCTCACCTAACAACCTTACTTGATGAACAATTTTCATAACTCTATCAATGTACTCCTTCACATTCTCGGTCTCTTTCATCCCGAGAAATTCAAATTCCTTTCTTAAATTAAAGATCTCGCATCTGTTTTATCTTTTCACTTCCTTGAAATTTTGATTTCGACTTGTCTCGAACTTCTTTTACTCGTCTTGCATGCCATAATCCTTGTGAAAATAGTCTCATTTACTCGCTGAATGAAGACTACTCAATGCTCTAAATTTTCTAGAAACCTTATCTTCATACATTCTAAGTCGATTCAAAGTTGGATTGTCCGGCAATTCGGTTTCAAAGTCCGATTCAACAGCTTCCCACGATAGCGAGACCCACGAGATATGCTTCCATCTTCACGGACCACACATGATAATTTTCTCCAAGTAAAGATTAGAAGAGAAAGAGCGGAAATACTACCGCTTGTAGCCATCACAAAAATCACTCAAATCTGTCAAGTGTTTATGGTTTTTTAAGCGAGGTTTTCTTACTTGTTTTCTCTCACACAAAGTCCCACAAAGATCAATTGTAGCTCGATACCGGATCTAGGAAGTTCCCGGTATATACGTATGAAAGAAGAAGATAGACAAAAAATGAAAGGGAACTCACTTCTTTTCATTACTTGCATAGGCATGTTTATAATGATACAAAAGTATAAGTCAATACCAAATTTCCATGATTTAAGGAAATTTGTTCCCTTGTCTAAAGCTGAAATTAAGTTCCATCACAAGTCATTCAAATTTCGGGTACATTCATTAATTGTATTACAAAATATTCAAAAACAAAAGGAACAAGATCTAGTTCATGGCTTTGTATCGGTACGTGATCATAAACAATAAGCTTCATCACAAATAAATGAAAATTTGTGTGTATGGACATAAATTAATAGGCAAATTTTAATTGGCCTCCATTTCTTTCTTTTTTGCTCCAACTTCCATCCCTCTGCGATTTCCGTCAAA